ATAAAATCATTCACTAACGGAATAGAGTCCAGCCATTCAGCAAGTTATGAATCCAGTTCATTGTACTATTGGTCAACCAACATTCCTCCATCTTTTCAAAAAGAATAACATGAGATACTTTGTCAAATATGTTGCTACAATATAGTCAAAATATGTCTATATAACTCTCCTGATCCACCAGCCCAACAATGAAAGAAAAAAAAAGGAAGGAAAGAAGGAAGGAAGGAAGGAGGGAGGCAGCTGTCTCTTTAGCATCCATTCCATTTTAATCAAACTCTCTTAATAGTTTGGAAATCATTCTTCTTGGTGGAGATTCAAGTCATATTAAAGGAGTCCTCCTGCTTCATTTTCATCAGTTAATGCTACATAATCTTCCTCAACTAGCATATATATCTATTCCTTTTTTATGTTTTATAAGCCTGAGGTCATACAAAAAAGCACTTTGCAAAACTTGAAGCACACAAAAAAATTTAGTAGAATAATTATCAGAATTATTATTGATCTGACATTCTTCTTACATATTTGTGTTAATCTTGCATCCATCTAATATCTCATTTGATATGTCTTTTAAAAAAATTTTGTAGTAATATTTAATTATAATATTTAAAAGCTGTAATATAAAATAGCACAGACCTAGGGTCTGAAAATATACCACTTGATATTTTTATAATGATTTGTAGTTTTTGTACTTTTATTGCTTCATTTGATATAGTAGATAGAATGCTGGAATTGCAATCAAGAAGACCTAGGCTCAAATCCTACCTCAGACACTTAAATCACTATATATATATAATAAATTTTAGCTATTCCCACAGCTATCCTAAGAGTTAGGCAGGACTCATATTAATCCTTGGACTGAGATGAAGAGAAATTAAGTGACCTTACCTAGTTAATGATAGGTAGGTGTCTAGCAACTGACTTCCTGACTCCTACACCGTGTTCTTGTCACTAGATTGGTTAGGTCTTAAGGAAATCATGCATTTAACAAATATTTCCATTACATTTTACAGTTCGTATGAAACGTATACCGTGTGTAAGAAGCTCTGATGGCTTTTCAGAACAGATGAGTAAGGCACAGTCGCTGCCATCTGATAGCTTATAATCTAATGAAGGGGATAAAACAACCATCCAGATGATTCCAGACAGAGGTTGGCAATTGTCTTAAGGGATATACAAAGCTCAATGGGGATTCATAGGAAAGAGTTAACACAATTAACTAGGGAAAGACATCCTAAGAAAGTACAATTTAAGATAGGTCTTCAGCGATAGATGAGATGCAGCATAGCAGAGTAGATAAACTGAGGAACTTGGGGGTCAGAAAGAACTGGGATTGTGACTATAGGCAAATCTGTTAGCCTCTTTGTTTCATTTTCTTGTCTTATAAAATGAGGAGATTGGACTAGATGACTTCTAAGGTCCCTTTCTAGCTTTAAATCTACAATTCTATGACCCTATAAGTACAAATGGATGGACAGCATTACAGGCAGAAGAAAGAGCATTAACAAAAACAGACCTTGGAAAGGACAGAGTATTTTGAAGGAAGATATTTTTGAGTTTTGACAGGAACAGAGGGCAAATATAGGAGAGTAGAGATGACCAGAATAGTAATTTTTCATCTGTACAAAAGACAGGAATGAGGATTGACTAGAAAGGAAGAAATCACTTTGGAAGCTCATACAATAGGGCAGGAGAGAAAAAAGTGGAAACCTAAATTAAAGTAGTGGCTATGGAGAATAGTGAGGTTTCATTTGAAAGAAATGGCAATGGTAAGATAATAAGACCTCCCAAAAGAATGTAAGTTCCTTTGGGGTAAGGACTATAGGAGTGATTTCACTTTTGTCTTTGTATTCCTGTGAAATAAAGATAGCTAGGTAGTGTGGTGGATAGAGTGCTGGGCCTGGAGCCAAGAAGACCTGAGTTCAAATTTGGCCTCAGATACTTACTAGCTGTGTAACCTTGGGCAAGTCACTTAATCTCATTTGCCTCAGTTTCCTCACCTGTAAAATGAGCTGGAGAAAGAAATGGCAAGCCACTCCAGTATCTTTACCAAGAAATCCCCAAAGGGGGTCACAGAGAATCAGATATGATTGAACAACAACAACAGTACCTTTATGGAGCTTAATTACCCTAACAACAAAGTATGTTAGTTATAGAACATCATTATAAGTGTAGGATGGACTATGTGGGACCCTGTAGGAAAGGGGTATTTCTTCATGGTGCAATGATGTTACCCCAACTGGCAACCTCCACTTCAATTCTCTTATGAGGAGGTTATTGTATTTCTGGGCTTAATCTGTTTTCTGACCTTCAGCTGTCTAGTCAGATGCACCCTCGCCCTCACTATAAGAAATAGCATGCTTCTCAAAAAGGGTGATAAATTTAGTGTGAAAGAACCAGAGTTGAATTCCAGTTCTGGTACTTATTCTCTGTGAGACCTTGAGCAAAAACACTTTGCAGCTCTGAGACTCAGTTTCCTCCTTTGCAAAATTACGGTATTAGACTAGAATCAGGGGTGGGTAGCTGTGCCTTTGAGGCCACGGATGGCCTCAAGGCCACAGGTTTGCCATCCCAGTCTAAATAATCTCTAAGGTCTTTTCTAGTTCTGCCATTTTAACCATGAACAACCCTTAAATAATAGCACTGAAATGAGTTAAAACAGCCATGAAAAGAAGCAGATGTCCACATACTTAAGTCAGAACCTAAAGGGAATTAGACATCAAGACTAATGGAAATTATTAATCACTTTAGGAAACCCTAAAGAAATTTACTATATTCTACTCTGCAGTTAGATTTTTCTTTTCTATGGATTTCATACAAATCTGTATCTCAGGTGGAGATGGGGACTCACAGCTTGTTTGCCACAAGGTGAAAGAATATGAAAAACATTAGCAGATCCAATTCAATTGAATTTCACAAGTATTTATTAAGTGCCTACTATGTTCCAGACAGGTGCTGGGGACAAAGACACACACACACACACACACACACACACACCCCAGTCGTTGACCTCAAGAAGCTTGTTTGGGGTAAACAGAATTTGTATAGAAAATCAAATACAAATACATGCTTATTGAATTAGAAGATGGCACTTATGCAAAGGAAAGTAAAGGAGGCAACACTTATTGATGGGTATAATACAAATGATACTTGGAGTTTCCTGTTGTTGTTCAGTCATTTTTTAGTTGTGCCCGACTCTTTGTCACCCGATTTGGGGTTTTCTTGGCAAAGATACTGGAGTGGTTTGCCATTTCTTTTTCCAGCTCATTTTACTGATAAGGAAACCAAGGCAAATAGGGTTAAGTGAGTTACCCAGGGTCACGCAGGTAGTAAGTGCCTGAGGCAGATTTGAACTCTGAAAGAAGAGTCTTCCTGATTCCAAGCCTAATACTCTTCCCTCTTTAAAACCCTATGTAAATGCAAGCTATTCTTTTTAGATAAGCTATTTACTACCACGGTTCCTTTGCTACTAATCAAGTGGGTATTTGCAACCACTCCTTACCTTTGAGTGGTTAAAAAGACAAATTCTTGACTATAACCCCAATCAAATAAACAGACACAAATTCACTTCAAAAATTGAAGTAACATTCTTAAAACAGGCACTGGGAGGCAAGAACCTAAGTTAAGGCGGAGGGGTTTTTATTGTTGTTGAGTCATTTCAGTCATGTCCAACTCTTCCTGACCTCATTTGGGGCTTTCTTGGCAGATACTGGAGTGGTTTGCCATTTCCTTCTCTAGCTCATTTTACAGATGAGGAAACTGAGGCAAACAAGTTCACACAGCTACTAACTGTCTGACACCGGATTTGAACTCAGGTCCTCCTGACTCCAGGGCTGGTATTCTATCCACTGCACCACCTAGCAGGTTCAATTGTCCCAGGTAGTACCGCAACTTATAGCTATAAAAGAGCTTACATTCTATGGAAAGAAGAATAGCTTCCCACAGAATCCAGACTGTCTTAGAGCATGAAGAAGTCAGGCTCCTGAAATTCAATGGTTATTTTTCCCTTTGATTCAATGTGATTTGCTTGGTTTGTTTTGTTTTGATTTCATTTTCTAATCTGCAAATAAAACCTCCATTAAATGATCAAAGACAGCCATTGCAGCTAGGTAGGCAAAAGAGCAGTTTATGCCTAAAAGCTATAGGGAACAAAAAAGGATGCAGCATCATGTGATGAGAGGGAGGGAGGGAGAGAGAGAGAGAGAGAGAGAGAGAGAGAGAGAGAGAGAGAGAGAGAGAGAGAGAGAAGCTTTGAAACATGGCAGTGTTTGAAAAAGGAGTTAAACATGATCTTTTTTTTCTTCTAAAAACCAAGGCAATCTCAGAGCACCCCATGTTGTCTTGCTGTTTTCCCCACTTATTTGAGGTAAAAAATGAGTTTGGGGAGAGAACCTGGGAAGTTTCAGCCAGTATTTGTTCTTTGGAGGTTAAAAAAAAAGTAAATCCACATAAGCTTATGATTTCCAAATTCTAAATCTACAGTAATTTTGCCTGTGCTTCCCCATTCCTTTGAATAAACACTGTACAATCTGCTGGATTTCTCTGTGACTTATTCTTTTTTAAAATGCATGAATCTGTTTGGAAAGAAAAGAAACGGGAAAAGGGGGGGAAACCCTTCTGTTTTTCATAATGTCTAATCTTTTTCCCCATTGGCATTCACCAGATGTTGCTTTGGATAGGAAGATAAATATTAAAATCTAAGAGAGAACAAAGCAGACTGTTTACTGGGTGGATTTTTCAGATGTTCTCCTGAGCACTTGAAAAAGACAGGAGATGCTTTGATATCCAGACTGGATGGAATTCACAGTGGAATGCCACCTTCTGGACCATCTGAAACATGGGCTACTCAAGTACCCATTAGATCTGGAATACTGAAACATCTAGGGTTATCCCTCCTATCCTGCAGTTCCTAATCCCCACTTATGTCATAATTAAAGGAAAAGGGAGAGACAGAGATAGAGAGAGCATTTGAACATTTGGATGGTGGGCCAGGATTTTATTACCTCATGAAGAGTCCAGAGAATAATTCCAGGGGTGAGTCTACCTGATGGTCCAGAGTTAAGGTACACCAAGGACTTTCTTCACACATGTAGATATAAGACCAAGATCTTAACAGACTGCTGGTCCCCATGGTGACAGTCAATTCACACTGGATGTAGGTAGCATTGGTGGCTTCACAGTTTTCCTCCAAGGGCCTTAGGTTGCACAGAAAAGCCAAGGAGGCTGCAGAGAAGAGTGGACAAAAAAATACCAAGAGAGCTAAATTGAAGCTTCAAATTCATTTTGATGTATCAGAACTTTTACCAATGCTTAAGCTCACTTGACCATTCTGGAAATAGGGAAAGGAAGGAAGGAAGGAAGGAAGAGGAAGGAAGGAAGGAAGGAAGGAAGGAAGGAAGGAAGGAAGGAAGGAAGGCAGGAAGGAGGAAGATGGGAGATGAAACATCTTGTTTTAAGAACATCAAGTTGCCTAGTACAGTTGAATAATTGTGTGCAGAGGACTAAAGTATAAGAAAATTGGAAAGGTAAGAAGAAACCAGATTATAAAGACCTTTAAATACCAGAGAGAAACCTTTATACTTGGTTCTAGAGGTGACAGGGGTCCACTGGAATTTATTGGGCAAGACCAAGAAGGGGAGGGAGAGTTGTGATATGGCTAGACTTCCACTTTAGAAAAATCACTTTGGCAGTTGATTGGAGAATGGATGGGGGGGAGGGAGAAACTTGCAACAGCAGGACCAACTCTAACAATTCTAAATCTATGATCTTATGAGTGAATGATCTGATAACTTTAAAGACAGGAGTCAAAAGCAGTTAAGTATCTGCCATAACCACAACTTTGTCTAGTTGTCTAGTAAGGGGGAAGAATGATTATGGCAGTATTGACGTAATCTGAATCCTCTTTCATCTGTGAGGGTAAGGGGACAGATTTCGGTGATGGTTTTTGTGTCAAAAAGGAGAGGAAAGCATAACCATGAGAAAGACATATGGTTTTGGCAAGACAATAGCTATTTCTATGGTATTTTGCATACAATGAGGACCACGGACAAAGTACAAACAGCAAATGCACCCTATGAGTATGTATTTCCCAGGGGATTGCCATGGTTCCCACATACCCAGAACACTCCAATTACTAATATTCAACAATCTATCAATCAATTGTGGCTAAACTTCATTTCTTATCATGGTCTAGTCCCCAGAGTTAACCAAAGTAAGCATCTTATCCAATAATTAAACAGTATCTCATATAGAAAAGTAATTCTTGGGACTAGACACAGGGAAATGTTACCTTGGTTTTCAAAAAGACAAAAAAAAATAGAGATTCATCAAATTATGGCCAAGGGAACTTGAGTTCGAATCCTGAAAAAATTCTGTAACATTATCAAAGGATCCTCTTATAAGCATTTAGAAAGGGAAACAGTGATCATTAAGAGCTGAAATGAACTGATCAAGAATGGGTCATGGCAGGCTAATCTCATCTTCTGTATGTTGGCCTCATAGATTAAGGGAATGCTATGTTGGGGACATAGTATATCTGGATTTCAGCAAGACATTTGACAAAGCCTCACAACAATCTTATGAACAAAATGGATAAATGTCGGATACATCTATAGTTCTCAAGTCTAAGACTGCAGACTACTGGGAATATAAGGCAAGTAGGGTAAAGGGTGAGGATAGGGGGACAAGGGAGTTATTTCAGGAAGTTCATATCAAATCACTTATTTTTCTTAAACAACATATGCAAACAGTATAATTGCTATCATGTAAAGGTCCACAAAATATTTTGACATTACGAAGGGGTCCACATACTCAAATACTTGACAATATTGTTGGGTGGATTTCGAACTGGTTGAAAGACCAGACACAAAGCATAGTGATTAATGCACTGATGTCAACCTGGAGGGAGGAAGCTAATAGAGTGCATGAGAGATCTGTACTTATCTGCATTCTGTTAAAATTTTCATCAATAACTTAGATAAAGAAATAAATGGCATACTTATCCAATTAGTGGCTGAAATGAAACTAGAAGGGATAGCTAGTGCATTGCATGACAAAATCAGGTTAGAACATTGGGACATTATGCTATATAAATTTGATACATTATTTGATGCATATTAAGGAACAAGGTAAATTCTACACTTGCATTCAAAAATATAACTGCGTGAGAACACAATAAGATGGGAGTATAGGGTGGGCTATGGCCAGGCAATAATTTCTTTTTTAAAGAAGTAGGAGTCCTAATGGACTAGACATTCAATATCATATCAACTGCTCAATATGGAAACCAAAACTCTCATTGGATCTTATGCTGAATGAATAGAGGCATATACTGTCCAGAATGAGAGGGAAGTCTCTCTACACTTTGCCTTGATCTGAGCACATACAAAATTTTGTAATCAGTTCTGGGCATCAAAGGACAGCTAGACGTCACAGTGCTGGGCCTGGAATCAGGAAGACTCATCTTCTTGAGTTCAAATTCAGCCCAGACACTTATTACCTGTGTGACCCTGGGCAAGTCACTTAACCCTGTTTGCCTCAGTTTCCTCATCTGTAAAATGAGCAAGCGAAGAAAATGGCAAACCATTCCAGTAGCTTTGCCAAGAAAACCCTAAATGGGGTCACAAAGAATCAGACATGACTGAAACAACTGAACAGCAAGAACTGGGCATCGAGCTTCAAGAATGGTACTGTCAAGTTAGAAAATGGTCAAGGAGGGCGGCCACAATGGTGAGGAGGCTAGAAAGTACATCATACTAAAGTAACAATAGTAGCTAAAAATGTAAATAGCAATTGAAAGTTTACAAAGCATTTTTCCCCCACACCACACTTGACCCTCATATCAATTCTGAGAGGTAGATATTACCCTTTTACTTAGGTATTATTACCCTTTTCACAGACTTACAGGTTATATAGTTAATGTTAAAGGTGCAATCTGAATCCAGGGCTCTCCTAATTTTAGGTCCAGCACTCTTTTCACTATACCACAAAAGAACTGGAGCTGTCTGACCCTTAGGAGACTAGGGAGACTTGGTAGCTCTCTTCAAGTATTTAAAAAGCCACAACGTGGGAAGAAGTTCCTGAAACATAATTAGGACTGGGTGGAAGTTACAAAAGACAGGTTTCATGACATTCCATATGACAAAGAGCTTCAGTACTGCCTTGATAGATAGTGAATTCTTCATCACTAAAAGTATTCAAGCGCAACTTGAATAGCTACTTGTTAGGAATCCTATGGGGCATCTAGGAGGCAGGGTGGATTGAGCATTGGGCATGAAATTTGGAAGATAAATCTTCTTGAGTTCAAATCTGGCCTCAGATACTTGCCAGCTGTGTGACCCTGGGCCAATCATTTAACTCTTTTTGCCTCAGCTTCCTCATCTGTAAAATGAGCTAGAGAAGGAAATGTCAAACCATCCAAATAGGGTCACAAAGACTCAGACATGACTGAACAACAACAACAATAAAAGAGATTCTTTTTCAAGTGTAAAGGTAAATTAGAGAGAACCTCTGAAGGCTCTTCCAACTGATATTCTAGAATTTTATTATTCTGTACTAAGAACTGACATGTTTATAATGCTTTAGTATTTGCAAAATGCTTTATATATACTATTTTGCTTGATTCTCAAAACAAACCTTATTGAGTAGTTACTACTAGTACTAACAATCATATTTCAAAGATTAAGCTAAGGTTCAGAGAAGGTTACCAATTCACTGGTGGCCACACAGCTAGTAAGTATCAGGAGTGGCATTTAAACTTAGCTGACTTCAATCCACCATGCCATCCTCAACCACACCACACTGTCTCTATGATTAAAGCACTGGACAAAATTACTTTAGGATAACCATAACAAACAGGGAGATGAAGACAATTTTATATGAAGACACAATAAAAAAAGATCAGGGTTCTTTAGTTAAGAAACAAAGTTTGAAAACGGCTATAAAATCAAAGTCTATAAAATCCTGAAGGGTAGGTAATGGAGCCAGCAGTGACTGGTAGGGTGGCCTAATAGAAAACACATGGGTCTAGGAGGAGGCAATTTGAGCTCTCCTCCCAGCTCTTCTACTACAAACCTGTTTGACCTTAATCCCTTCAACTTTTCTCTATATCTTAATTTCTTCATCCACCAAGTGGGAATGATAATCCTTTCCTTTCTACACGGTTGTGAAGATTAAATAAGATCACAAATGGGAAAGTGTTTTGAAAAGTTGGGAGTTCTAATCAATTGGGAATGGCTAAACAAGTTATGATAGATGAATGTCATGGAGATGATTGTACCATAACAAGTGATAAATATGAAAGTCAAATGGGAAGAAATATGAACTGATTCAGGGTGAAGTAAGCAAACCAGGAAAAAACAATATACACAATGATTAAACCAACGTCAAAGGAAAGAATGATAACAACAGAAACTAGATGTTGTGTGATTATAATAACTAAGTCTAGTCCCCAAGAAGAATTGAGAAAATACGTTTCCCTCCTTTCTTTGCAAAATTGGAGTTGGTGGGGGGGGGGAGTGCTGCTAATATAGTGGAACATTTCAAATGCAGCCAGATATGGTTGATGTATTTAGTTGGGTTTATTAAATTGCATTTTTTTCTTCTTTCTTTTCTTATTCTTTGATACAAGGGATGAGCCTCCAGGTAGAGAAGCTGGAGGGATATAATTAGAAATAAAGGTTGATGTAAAAATAAAAGATATCAAAAAGAAAAGTTGGGAGTGAGACAAATATAAGGCATAATTATTGAAAACTTACTGGAAAAAGGTGTTTTCTCTTGAGGACTGAAAGAGGAAGTTCTAGGACACGTAAAAGGAAGCATAAATTCACACAGGAGACAACAAACTAAAGGAAATTAGTGATTATGCCAAGAGTTGATAGAGACTGAAAATACAAATAAATAGCTTCAAGAGTTTACTGTTTTCTCTTTCGTACCAAAAAAAAAAGTCAGCAAAATCAATAATGTTATGCCTACACAGGACAAAATGGAAAAAAAGTGACGTGTAAATAATCTAATTGTGATCAGTATAAATAGGCAGTCCATACCTCCAATGGATTTGTCCTAAATAATGTAGTTTCTTTCAGGGTAAACTAGCCAAATTCTTTTTTCACTTTTATACACTCAGTCTTATGATAAGCTGCTCCAACTAGACATTTTATTGGCATAACACTAATAATAATGGCTATCATTAATATAGTATCTTAAGGTTTGCAAAGCACCTATTG